CCCCCCGGCCAGACAGCCTTTCAATCACAAACAAAATAGGAACATTACCACAGAGGCACTGAGTTCCAGGTGGTAGTTTTGCCCTTTCCCAAAATGAAAATAAACTGTTACGGAAGGAATGAGCTTTTCCTCTTATTTTCAACCATGAAGGTCCCCATGGGGAGGAGCAGGGTGTCGCTCACAAGCTGCAGCTGGTCCCTGCACATGTTGCTGGGGACACCGAGGTGGCTGAGCAGGATTCTTTCTTTAGTGGCGATTCAGCTGCCTCCAGGACCTGCCGTACACCGGCATCGCGCATAGGAAAGGCCTGCAGTGTTAGCAGGTTGACCGTGTCCCTGTTCCCTTACCTATGGATTCACCCTCCAGAGGCCAGTGAACAGGCAGCCTGAGATGAAAAGGCAGCAAGCCCGGTTTCTCCCAGGACATGGCAAAGGATTAAAATGAGAAAAACAGTCAAACCGGCAGGCTCGCGCTTCCTGCTTTAGGAGTAGAATTCTTCACCATCTCCTTTCCCACACGTTCTTCCCTTCCCTCATGGAAACAATCATTTCTGATGTCTTTATCTGTGTTTTCATATGCGTCTTTCTTGGACTCAACTCTTGTTGACCGGGTCTTTCCTGAGTAGATTTGGGATTGATGGGCCCCGTGCTGGGGGTGTGCAAGTGACGAAGCAGGAAGGGGCGTGTAAGTGGAGAAGGGGGGAGGGAGCAGGAATGGGGTCTCTCCCTGCCCTGCTGCCGCCTTGCCGGGGTCCTGCAGAGGGCTCCTCCCCGCCATCACCCCCTTCCTTCCACGGAGGTGTCTTCTCATTTTCAGCAGAATGCAAACTAGTAGACTAACATAAAAGAAAGATATAATAGGCAATAACTATTGTGTGTAAGCCACTTTTTTATTACTTGAAAACTGAAACCTGAGAATGGTTTTGAAGTTCTGACCATTTGAACTTTATTTATGTATGTTTTAAGAACATGGTGGCCAAGAGGACAAGTGGTCTGAGCGCTGACCAGCGGCTAGAAAGTTCTCATCCCTTGGCAACAGCAGAACCTGTCTCTCCATGGGGTCTTCAGCCTAGAATCTGCTTCTTGAAGAGGTTTTTTTAAAAGATCATGCAGAGAAATCAATATAGTTTGTCCTGCAAGGAACAGGAACACGCTTATAAAGATAGTTTAAGTGTATCTTTCCTTTATGTGATGTGTCTCTAGTGCCTTACTGAGGAAGCAGCGACCCTCTTGTCATGGGGCAGGGATCCCCAGACAGTGCCTCACAGACTCGGGACTGGCACCCCCTCCTGGGGGCCGCAAAGGGTCTTGCTGCTTTCCAGACACCCCATTGCCCTCTCCTGGCCTCGCCCTCCCTCCACCGCGGATGTGCCTAGCTAGGTGAGCTGACCCTGTTGTTCCTCCAGCCTCTTTGTCAAGGAATGTGTATAACTCCCATCCGGGTCAAAAACCTAGAAGTGGACCTCGTTTGTTGTGTGGCATCAGTCAAAAGCCAGGCTGAAGCATTCCCCGTGTCCTCTTGAGCCAAATTGAATCTTGTTGCTTCGTGGGGTGGTCTGGATTTGCCAGGAGAGAGAAGGAGGGAGAGGAGTAGGTGATGGACCTCAAGCCAGTTGGAGGGCAGAGCCCGCACCTCCTCCATTCAAGCCAGTGCTGAAGTCCAGTGTCCCTGGGCTTCATGCCCAGTGGGTGACAGTTGCAAAAGTTCATGGGGGGGGGGAGTGGCTTGTCAAAGGCAGGGTGCATCCCAAGAAAATCTACCAGAGCAAAGCTCTTGGCTTCTCTGCTGGACCCCAGAGCTCAGGGTGGGGTGGGGTGTGTGCACTGTTTCCTTTAGATGTTGGTTGTCGTGTTATCTTTGAAAATCTTTGGCCCACCCCCATGAAGCCCCCTTTTCCAGTAGGTAGTTAGGCGGGGTTCTGGGAAGTGGCTGGTTAGAGGGGAACCAGGTTGGTTTCAGGGGTCTGCTATTCACCCTGGGTTCAGAGGAGAGGGCAGGGGCAGGTTTTTCTGCCCTCTCCTTGTTCCCCGGCTTCTTGGTCACCACATTTCCTCCAGAGGAGAAACGTCACCTCCCCTGCCAAGCCAGGTCTGCACGGACAAAACCCCAGTGTTTTTGCAAAGAGTTAAAAGCGACCCCACGTGTAGCAAAAGCCGGGGCAGGGCGAGAACCAGATCCAGCCCCTGTCCTTGGTCGTCCCTGTGAATTGTACGTTTCAGAGAAGTGTTTTTTTTTTGCCTATGTGCAGCACGAAGCTTCCAGAACCATAAAACATCCCGATGATAAGAAAAGAAAATCTTTTTTTCCAGAAACTGCGCTTGAAATTTTGCTGTACTATAGAGCTCAGAAGGACACACCCCGTTCTTCCCTGCCTGCCTGATTCCATGACTGTGCTGATGACAATGCTTTCCTGTTGCGTTCCTGGCGTGGGAGCCGCTCTCCTTTGCAGCCCCGTTCCCAAGTTCTGTTCACGTTCATCTTATGTAAGCTCTCTGTGGCACACTGGGTGTAGCACCCACGACGCTGCTGTGTAAGACTCTGTATTTGGATGCCAATCACCAGGCCTGAAGAAATTGCTTGTTGTGTATCAGTAATCATTAGTGGCAATGATGACATTCTGAAAAGCTGCAATACTTAATACAATAAATTTTACAATTCTTTGGAACAAGCCTGTTTCACTTCTTTGGCCATGTGTAGCTTTTCTCACCCCCTCCAGCCCCCTCCACAAAAACCCCAGATTGCATTTAGTGCAGAGAATGGATCCCTGGAGGCTGCTGGGTAGCCACAAGCAATTCATTCAGCCTCTCTGTTTGAGGTCAGGCAGCAAGTGGGGAGCGCAGTGAAAACACTTGCTCAGGCAGGTGGCTCCAATTAAAGGGAAAGTTGTTGGGGTTAAAGGAGTTTGCAAAACATTGCGTACTTTTCCTCCCTCTTGGGAAAGCATTATTCGCCTGTAGCATGATGAAGGCTCTGATAAGGTCTGCAGGAAAGAAACTGTCTTAGCTGGAGGTCTTCTAGAAGCAAGCCCTGAGACTTGTGTGCAAGGACCGTATTAAGGATGTCCCAGGGGAGACAGCTAAGAAAGTTGGGGAGGAGGACTGAGGAAGGGGAGACACTAAAAGCAAAGGGGACAGTTTTAGGCAAAGTTCCAGGCTTAGCCTAACCCTAGGGGGCTTGCGGAGAGCTCTGGAGTAAAATGCACCTGGGAAGGGCAGACCCTCTTGGCTCTTGGCACACAAGAGTGGAGCATAAGGGAGGGGACGCCGGTGAGGGGTCCTTCCAGGTGCCAGCCATTAGCAACGCACAGAGAGGCTGGGGGAGGTGTGCACAGACACCCAAAAGAGTTGTTTAAGGGGGTCTGTGGGGACACCCACACTAGCCACTACAGAAACTCTCATTGATTTTGCTAACTATAGTTGACCCTGAAACATGGGATTCAAGGTACACTGTCCCCAACCCTGCAGTCAAAAATCCACATATAATTTTTTACTCCCCCAAACTTAAGGACTTAGTAATAGCCTACTATGAACTTGAAGCCTTACCGATAATATAACAACTGATTAGCACATAAGTTTGTGCGTTTATGACATACCTTTTTAAAAATTTTTTTCTGGGCTCAGCACCTATGGCTCAGGTGGCTAAGGCACCAGCCACGTACACCTAAGGTGGTGGGTTCGAATCGAGCCCGGGCTTGCCAAACAACAATGACAGCTGCAACCAAAAAATAGCTGGGCATTGTGGTGGGTGCCTGTAGTCCCAGCTATTTGGGAAGCTGTGGCAGGAGACTCGCTTGAGCCTAGTAGTTGGAGGTTGCTGTGAGCTATGATGGCACAGCACTCTAACCAGGGTGACGGCTTGAAGCTCTGTCTCAAAAAAAAAAAAAAATTCTGTATTTCTAGGCTATGCAGTCAAATTGTCATACTCCAAATTTTCCAATATATTTTATATTTATTGAAAAAGATGTGTAAGTGGACCTGAGTCGTTCAGACTTGTGCTGTTCAGGGATCAACTGTGGATCCATCTTTAATGCCTGATCAAAGTTTCTAAAAAGGCCCTTATAAAGACCATAACCCCAGGGGTGACCCTGGCTGGCCTTAGCCCAGGGTTTCCTAAATGTCTGAACCATAGGGCCCTAGAACTCACAAAGTTGGAGAAATGGTGGCAGAAGCCAGCAGCCCACCGGATTGGGACAAAACTCAGTACCCACCTGCCTTCCCTATGCCCTCTTCCTGGTGGGAAAAGACTTCAGAGATTACAAAGAATTGGGGGAAAAAAAAAAGAGCCCATTATTTTTCAGTGGCAGGAGCAGGGGACCCGTGCTGTTCCCCAGAGGTTCCAGTTTTGAGCGGCTATTTCCCCTGCAGATCTCAGTCACCTGCTCTGAAGAATGGGGTGGATGCTGTGCCTGTGAGATGCCCACACCTAGCGTCTGATGACCTTCTGACCGTAACATCATCCCAGCACGGGCAAATAGGAGTTGCTCTTATTGCTGGCACAGGCTGCCAGGTGGGTTTTCGTATTGCAATCAAATACCCCTTGAACTTTTGAGATTAGTTTGCAGGTCCTGGGCTGGGCACAGAGAGAG